TGAGGCAGGCATCAGGATCTGAGATCCCATCGTAATGACCGATTTGGGGGACTTTCACCTTCCCGGGTAAGGGTCCCAACATCAACTTAGGTGCCAGAGGGGAGTCGATTTCAATGCATACATGCCCTGGTTCTGAGGTGGCGACGTTTTGAGGACACCCCACTTATGTCATCTGTCGAGCTTCAAGCTCAGCCACCTTCTTTCGCAAGGCCTCTAACTCGGTGGTCTCTCGCCTTGCGGAACGGCTCCTCTCAATTTGATGCCGCAGGTCGGTTTGATTCTCCAGTTGTTGGAAAAGTGGTTGGGCGGCAACAGCGGGTCCCCGAGCATGTCTGGAATTACTCTCCATTTCTTGCAGGTTCCCCTCTGGTGAGGCTATGGTTCTGGTTTTGTGTGCTGGAAGAGGGTTGTCTCGGGGTTGCGACGTCGCGTGAGACGTGGCAGCACCTCCGCCACGCCTTTGAGTCGGTTGTACCCTTGGTCTAGCCGGTGTCATGAGGCTATGGATTGCCCTGGTAGCATCTTGGACATTCCGGGCATAGTTTGTGCCATAAGGGCAGAAAAACCTTTTACAAACTCAGGATTTTGGAGCATGGCAGTGAAATCCGACGTTGCCGGCATCGCATTTGTTCTGCCGGGGGTTGGGGCCGCTCCACGGCTGGCGCCGGCCCGGGAAGTTTGTTCATCATGTCCTAAATGAGACATTTTTGTTTGAAAAAAGGTGAGGATGATGATCGAAAAGATGCATAATTTTTTGTTGCTAGATTCGAAGATTAACTCCAAATGTTCTATGGAGTCCTTCCTCTAGCGTCAAACTGTTGATATGTGAAATTTTATCAACGTCCATGTATTTGTGTTTCTCGAATTTCTGTTGAATTTTTGTATGAAGAATTGGAGGATCCTTTTTCTTCTTCCTGTATTTTGTATCATGTTCTCAAATGTGGGAAAGGAGAAGGGCCCTCAATCATTGAAGCCTTTTCTATTTATAGCCACACAATATGGGCTTTTACAATTTTTTAACCATAATATAATAATGTAAGTGTAATAAATAAGATGTGACCACGTAGGGCCCATTAAATATGATGCTTGACGGCTTCAATCGACATTTGTCTTGTCGATAATTATTGTGTCTATCGGGGCGGCTTCTTTATGATATTCGGGCTGGGCTGGCGACATTAAATTCTGCTCGGTTCGGATATGATTGCTCGGTTCAGATGTGGACGATCTTGACTTTTGGGAACTTGGTTGATATCAAATAATCAGTTCGGGGAACCTTTTAATTTTAATATATATTTTAACCCTCTTTTATTTTGCCACGTGTCACATTTTTATTATTTGAGACCAAATTGGGTACCAACAATAACAAATTTCAATGCTAAATAAGTTAAATAGAATTGTTAAGATTATAAAAATTCAAATAATACTTCAATACTTTTAAAAGTCTTAAAAGATATATGCAATATATTCGTTTGTGATTTTTAAAGACTTTTTGGGATTTTAGAAATCTTGATATATTTAACTTAGATTTTTTTAAGTATTTAAAAAGTTTTGGGGTATTTATTTGAGATTTTGAAAAGACTTGAAAAATCGTGAGGCATTTAACTTATTTAACATTAAGATTTGTTAAGACTTTTTAAAGTTTAGTAAAATTTCAAACATAAATACACTAAAATCCACGAATTTCACTTCAATCTCAACCATACATTTAATGTACGAGGCAAAAAAGTATGTTGACTGCCTCGTGCATTGCTTCATACACCTCGTACGTGCAAAATAACTATTATACACCTCGTACGTGCATTGACAACCGACGTGATTGGTGAAGATTAAGGTGAAGATTTACGATTATTACTCAAAGGTCGTTGCTTAATCATGTCATACGCCTAACTTAATACAACTCGGTCCAAGCTGAGTGCCGAGCCGACCTTGCACATAAATGCGAACCGACTTCGCGTCCAAGACAACAACCGACTTCTCAAAGATTCCTTAAGCGACCGATCTCAAAGATTCCTTCTAGAAGGTTCTCCCTGCAAACCGAGGTTCGAGATGACCGAAACCCGAAGCAGGTGACGAGGTGCCCACATAATTGGCCCACGTGCCACATTGCAATCATTACGTTCACCTGCTGACCGACAAACCCCTTCATAAAGCTACTTTGCATTTAATGCGATCACACCTACCTCGTACCGAAAGTCAAACACACACTACTATAAATAGCGGAATTTATTATTGTACAGGGATCCTTTTATGCACAATCAATACGCACATGCAAAATAGCTCGGTTCCCACATAAACCGACTTCATGTACTTTGTAATTACACAACAATAATACAAATTCTCGACTTTTTATGCTTTAATCACATCTTGTTATAGTTGTTTATCCTTGTTAAATCTCACACAACAACACACTCACTTTAATTTAATTATTATTTGTTTTTAATTCATTATTAAAGAATACTGTATGAATTTCTAGCTCATGTATATAAATATATGTAATAAAAAGAGGTTATTAAATTAAAGCGTTCTAGAAATGAAGATCCGACCGTCTCACTACCGCTAGCCACAACCATTAGTTTCCATTCGTCACCCGTCTACCAATAGTGAATTTCAACAAATTAAATATCATTTTGAAACTCACTACTCGATCTTTTCAACGAAATCTTTAATTTCATCATATGATACCTCAAATTTTGTTAAATTGTTTTCAAAGAATTGCACTGTAAGTTTTGTTGGAATGTCACTGGAGATTTGGTCATTAAATTTATGTGAAACATATATGTATAGAAAGCTCTTTCCATAAAGAATCCAACGGTATCTTCCCATCATCGACCGAACCTTTCAACAGGCAGAAATATCTTGCGGTGCACGATTGCCAGATGAATACTTCAATCGGCGATTTCCAATGATTCAATAGTCCAAATTTGATGGGCGAACTCTTATTTCATTCCTATTTACATTAGCAAAAGTACCCCTTGATCAATTTAATTTTTTTTGAGTTCATATGAGCTTTAAGTTTGAAGTGATATTTTCTGCATATTTTTTCATTTTTTTTTTGAATTTTATTCTATGATTCTGATGGATATAAGAATGATTATGTGAAAATTTCGAGAAGCAAAGAAAAAATGAGATAAAGTTGGAACACTATATAGCAATTTTTTTATTAGTTTTTAAGTAGGAGTAATTTACTAGTTCAATTATGAGATTTTCTTTAAAAATTTATTTAAGAAAGTAAAAGGATATATATCATAATTTCAATAAGTGCTTGTTGTCTAGTATGTAGTGTAAGAATATTGGTTTGGAATCGTTCGACAAACCTAATTGTTTTCTAGAAGATTTTCTTGTTAGGTAAACAAAATAAATTAAAGGGATGTTGTTTATTTATTTACTTGTGAATTAATTAAGTTCCTAGTATTTATTATTAATAATAGAAAAATGCTACAAGTACATAATAAATGTACATAGAGGTGTACATAACGCTCACATGGAGTGGGGTTTACATAATTTTTTATTTTTGGTAGGTCTCACTCAATGTGAGTGTTATGTACACTTCTATGTACAATATTATGTACCTATAGCATTTCTCTTAATAATATATGGTATATATTTACTATAATATGTATTATGGAGTCTTAATCCTTTAGGAGAAGTATTACATAATATATATCTTATATATTCACTTACCATATATACCACATGCACTAATGAGCTTGATTCTATGCCATAATTAGTTTTTTCTCTCTTGTAGGACAAGGAATAGGTGGCAAGGACTATGAAAGGATGAGCTATTCATACATAAAGAATTCTGGACGTTCTCTAGAAGATCTAAGGAGGATTTGGAATGATTCACCACAAGATCTTTGAAGATTTGGAAGATCGATTATTTTAGGAAATTTGTGTTCTTACACCAGTTTGGGAACACAAGATCTCTATTGGAAACTCAATTCTGAAGATCTCCAAATCATATACACGAATTCTACTTGAAGGAAACTTAACTTTACATGAAGAATTTTGTCCAAATCAGAAAGGAATCAATTGAGAAGAAAATTGACTCCTAAAAGGAAAAAGAGATATTTGTGAAGACTCTTTACCTTAAAAGGAGATTATATATAAGCCTACAATTGAAGGGAGCTGCTGCAATAATCGAGTTTATCATTCATCAGATTCAATTGAGTGTTTGAGAGATTTTTATTTTTTATTTTGTTCGTTTCAGCACTTCAGCGTTCTTACATTGCTGACGAACTATGTTTGTTTAGTTTCTTTTTCTTTCTACAAACACTTTTTGAGTGCTCAGGGACTAAGTACTTCTGTAGTTGGGAGGGATTATTAGCTATAGTAAAGTCCACGGGACGTGGCCAGGGAAGTAGTTGATAGAATCGAGTATAGTGTTGGTTAGGCTAGGAGGGAGTCTGAATCGAGTAAGTCCAAACTGTATTTTGTGGGACGTAAACCGATTGATCAATGAAAGAGCTCTGAGGGTAGTGTGACGCTCCCCGAAGACATATAATTTTTATATCGCTTCCGCTTTTAAATTTATTTTTTCGTGTTGCAACACAATTTCGTAATACATAATTTCTGTGTTCTAACACAGTCTGCGTACTCTATACTTCCTCTTCCCTCATTTGAGGTAGAAAATATATATGAGAAATATCTGACGGTAAAACAACTTTTTTATAAAACCTTATTAACTTTAAAGAAAAAATCTTAAAATGACACTCAAAATTTTAAACCAATACACCTTTAAATATTATCTTTACCAAACTTTCTAAAATCTCCATCCATCCATCCATCGCATTATTTTTCTGTGTTAGACAAATTGGAAAGAATCTAGCCATAAAACAAAGATTTTTTAGAGAGATATTTGAGTGAAGAATCTATCGAAGATTTAAAAAACCGATCCACAAAAGAGAACCTTATCTAGTCTGCATTCTGCAACAGTACACTGAGCAGCAACACCCGTTATCCTCGAAACTTGCCTTCCTGAAATACAAGCCTCCCAAGAAATGGCAAACTCGCTGAGCTTTGCACCTCTCATTTCCTCCAACGTCGTTGTAAACAGACCTGGTACTCCTTGCTCCGTGTCTCTGTTTTTTCATTGCGCGTCTCTGTTTGTTTTCGAGTGTGCTGGGTTGTGGGTTTCCATGCTTGTATGTGACCTTAATTTCTGTTTTTCTTTTTTTTTTTTCTTTTTTGTTCTTATGTGGGCCGACCCNGGACTTATTAGCCACAAATTTAGCTGCAGGAAGGCAAATTGGATTACAGACGCTTCTTATAGCTCAAAAAATGCTCCTTTCGAAGCTTTGAAGGTTAATGTGGGATGGAAGCTGTTCAATTCTAATTCTTGCCCAGAAACCAGCATGCAATTTGTTTGGAACTCTATGGTTTTCTGATTTCATTTCTAAGGACCCTAAATTTGATACAAATAACTTTTATTTGCCTCTCATATGTTCTGGGAATTTTTACCCTTTGCCCCAATGTTAATTGGTTGCTATTATGCCTTATTTTGGTTTGCTAGACTTCTTTATGATAAAAATTCTTGTGAGGCGGCCTAACCATTAGGCGGCTCGCACGTCATACATTTTTTGTTATGTATATATATGCTATGAATGTCACACTTCTATTTTTATTGTTTTTTAGAGTATTACATTCTTGTTTTAAATTATCTATGTCCAATTAAAAAGCATGGTTGTGCCTACCAACATTTTTACTGTTTTTATGATTATCTTACAGCATTTTCAATCTTTTCTACATTAATTTGTCTCTTGGGCTTGAGCAACTCTGTGTTTTTCACCCAATTCCTCGACCTTACATTGTCTCACAGGCTACTGGCAACAAACCGCTTACCAAACCGAATAGCATACTTTGTGCTGAATGTGATGGAGATGGTAAGTGGAACACTACTTTTGTTTTTCGTTTTTGGACGTCCTTGTGTTGTTACGTATGTTAATTTGGATTTATTTTCTGTACCGAATTCTGTGTACATATCTTATTTGTTGTTTACTTATATTTTTCAAACTGTTTCAGTTTATCCTGGATATTGGACTTTGTGAATTGCAAAATATGTCTTGAAATGCAAATGCTGCGTTATGAGAAAATTATAAGACAGTTTAGTGATAGAATATAGTGTTTCACATTCTCAGCAAGCTCTTTATCTCTTTTACTGGTCACTCTTTCCAAGGATTTTTATCTGCACATATTAGCTGATCTCCTTTGTCATTTTTCTTATGTATTATCATTGTACTTGGGAAATGGTAGTCAAAAAGGGTTTTACTTTAGTAATTGGTCAAGCAAATGAGAATTATTGTCATCACTCATTTTAGCAGCAACAACTCCTGAATGCTGGACACCAAAGTGTATATATTTAAGTATTCTTTTCCTTACTATCGGTTACCCAGATAAGCAAATAAGATTTCCCATCTTTGCACATAATTAACCTTGTTTATTTCCCTTTACAATTTTTAGGTGCTAAGAAATGTACTCAATGCGAAGGAAGTGGAGTCAATTCAGTAGATCACTTTAACGGGCAGTTCAAAGCTGGAAACATGTGCTGGTTATGCAGGTATATTTTTTGCGTATTTTTTTCTTTTTTATCATTGTACTTGGAAGTTCAAAGTTGAGTCGTCTTACTGAGTGCCATTTTAGTGAATTTTATCCGAAATTTCTTATTTCTTGTTTGTTTGAAACAAAGTTCAACCTACTATCTCTATTTTGGTAGATCTCCAATGAAGTCCTGAAGTAGCTTCAAATTTTACCCCTGAAATAAGATTTTCTAATATTTTACTTACATTGATTGGTAAATTGTGTTGGTGCATACAAAAGTGAGGTTCTGAACATGTACACTTTACCAAAATGAGACGACCAAGGTTTAATTGGTTATATTAGGTGAACCAATTACATCCAAATCCTAATATTCTAGCTGCTTGTTTATCGCGCATACATCTCCTTGTCAAAATCTGTCATATTTTGGGTACATAAGTTTTCATATCGGTACAATTTCGTCATTACATCATCACTCACTTATATTTATTATTTTAAAGTGGTAATTGAAAGACTACCTGCATGTTTAGCTTAAGTTTTACTAAATTCAGTTATGTTTTATAATTCTAAACATGCCCTCCCTCGAAGTTCATATTTGGTTTACGACTTATTATCATTTTTTGTTTAATATATCATTTCTCTGGTGTTTAACGCCACGCCAACTCTTTTTGCAGGGGCAAAAAGGAGATTCTTTGTGGTAGTTGCAATGGTGCTGGGTTTATTGGTGGTTTCATGAGCACATTTGATGATTAATGTATGATATCAGACATCTGCACTACTTGGCTGTTAAGATTTTGGCAACAAAGGATACTGATGAACTTCAATCTGTACAATTGGACCAGCTCTTTTACTTTTGGTTGTATAACTGGAAATAGAATCTTGAAAATTTATCATGTTGTGGCCATTTTTCACTTTCAGGTCCATCTTTACTTGGATGCATATTGCTATATCCTCTTTTTCTTCCCGGCATATAACAGATGCCCCTTCATGAATATAACCGAGAAAAAACCTTGACCATTTTTTTTTTGAAACAAATAGATTTTTACATTAATAAACACATTAGAAAAAAAAAATAATTAAAGGACGAAAGTGCAACTCGTGTATAATTAGTGGACGAATGGTGCAATTTTTCCCACAAGTAGAGACTAAAATCTCCAATAATTCACAAACAAAATACAATAGAACCTCCCATCCTCTAGCTAAAATGTAACCTCTATCAAGACCAAGCCAAAAGAAGCTAAATGTAACCTCTATCAAGATCAAAGCTAAAAGCAGTCGACGACTGCCCTCCAATAGGCTAACATTAGAAACTCAAAGCAACTGTCAACACACTTTGAGGCTATCCATTCTAAAGACGAAGAAAGAACCGCAAATCTGAAGTCAACAAACCTGAGAACTCCAGTTTACTTGTACGGCTAGTCAGACCTGAAGAAAAAGCCCTGAGACCCTAAAAAAGACGTCAAAGAACAGATGGCGAGCCGCATCACAGGAGACAACGAACTCGACCGTCCTCCGCAGAGGCGGAGCCACCCTAGGGCTAGGGTGGGCTCCAGCCCCATGTCCAAAAAAAAAATTTGCTAATCTTAATTTTTAAAAATTTTTATACATCAACCCCATTAGCCCCATGTGATTTTTTATGTAGCCCCTTTTATTTTCGGGTTGGATGGCTCAAAACTTAGATCAAAATTTTTCATATGACAACAATGGAGGAAAAATGATGATCGTAGTGAGAGAAAAAAAAAGATAATCTTTTATTATTAGATGACAATTGTGTCCTTATTAGATTTTTATTAATTGGGTTTATAATGTAGCCCAACCCACTCTTGCCTTTTAATTTTTTTAATGGGTTTACTTGACAAATACCAAATGAGCTAGATAATTAAGCTTGACACACATTTCTCTTGCGGGCTATTTAATTGTGTTCCTCTCATTGCACAGTCCGTTATCCATTTTCATTTATTATTTTTTTTGTTGATTTCGCCTCCAATAATTAATTCGGCCTCAATTCCTTGACAAAGAGTAGAGTGCAAACATGCTCGACTTTATTTGTTTGATCGACAAGTTCGATTAGTATTTGGGTTTGACTTGTTTAAATATATAAGTAAGTCGATATTGAGTTTTTCTAATTCAAACTGACATATGTAACAGATAATTTGTCTAGTCATGATCATCAAAACCAGTTACGGGTCCCCGGGCCGAGAGTTGGAGGACCTTGAGCCAGCGAGGACATATGCACATGCCAGTTCATTGAATTGTCGGTTCTTGGTCGTCCGGTTCATTAAAAAAAAATAATAATAATTAAAAAATGATATATATTTTTTTTAAAAAAAAGTCAAACCTCGGGTTCCGACTCCAGTTCAGAACCGAAACTTCCGGTTCAAAATGTATAATCTATCAAGTATTGTACATGAATCGAACTGATCAAAACCACGGGCCGGTTCAAGACCCATGGTCAACGGGCCGGTTTGTGTCGGTTCGGCCCGAACCGACAGGCTGGGTCGGCCCATGACCATGTCTACTCGGTTCCAATAATAGCTACAACAATATGCAGCCCCAGATCAAAAAAAAATTCTGGCTATCCCCCTGGTCCTCCGAGACGGATCTCAGTGCCGACGACCCTATTACCGGTCGGATGACGGCCAAGCGGCACGCCGGAGAAGAATAGGGGGAAGGGGGGAGGGGGGATATCTCTCTGTTATCCTTTTTCTCTTGTAGGGAAGACAGATTTAAAAAAAAAAATTGACCATCTAATAAAACAAAAAATAATCTCTTTTCGGGTTTGCTCAGTAAGAATATATTTTATATTTTTCTATTATTGTAGATCATATATTTAGTTAGAACTAGTTGAATTAATAGAAACACAATTAAAGTGAGTATGTATTTAATGAATTATTAAATGTTCTAATATTAAAGAGATCAATTTGTGATGTTTGACTTGGTCAATAAGTTAAGTAAGAACATGGAAGTTTTAGTAGAATTAAGATTATATATCCCCTCTTATAAATACTACTTCACCCCCTCTCTGTTTGGTCATACGAAAATAAAGTACTCAACATCAAGGGCTTTATGAAAATACGAGAGACGCGAGAGAGTGAAACAATTCATAGGCAAAACTGAACACATGGACGAGAAAGATAAACGTAGATAAAGGAAATAAGGAGTACTAATGTTGGATAGTTGTGAG